GTGGTCAGGGGCGAAGCATAGGCTCTGAGAAAGCCTCTTGTGTCTGTCAAACCCTCTCACTGCAAGAGAAATCTGGGTCAAATCAAGGGACAACGTGGGAACCGTCACCGTCGTCTTCATCAACCTCTGCAAAGCCTTCGTCAAAGTTCCCCACAAAGGACTACTCATGAAGTTGGAAAGTCTGGGAATCAATGGCAGCTTACTGAACTAGATCGAGGAATTCCTCATTGACAGGAAACAGAGGGTCAGGGTCGACTTAAAACAATCTTCTTGAACAACAGAATGTAGTGGAGTGCCACAAGGCACAGCACTGGGGCCTCTCATTTATTCTTCACATCAAGAAGTAACCTGTGGTCACAGATCCCCCGATGTTTCTACATGCGGATCACTTCAAAGATTTGGAGAGAGCTGAATGGTGACATGATACGCTCATGTTGCAAAGGAACCTTAACAAACTGTTGGAGTGATCCAAAGAATGGACAGCGTCGATCAACGCGGAGAAATGTGCGACCATGTGCATGGGTTATGCAAGCATCAGCTCCTACGAACTCAAGGGGACAAGGCACATCAATTCAGACTCATTTGGATCTCTGTGTCATAGTAAGTCTCGAATTAGAAACCGCAGAAAATTGTTACTCGACAGTCGCACATAGTTCCAGATCCTGATGGGCAGTTCGCAGTGTCTTTACTAGAATCACCAGAGATATTTTCACCTCCTCATATGCATCTCTGGAGAGACAGAAACACTGTATCCAGGCAGCCAGTCCTTGTCTTAAGAGGGGCTCATATGTACAAGGAGGGCAACATGTATGATTCCTGGCACGGCCCATTCTCATAATGCGACGATAGATTAGACAATCCAAATATCTTCTTCCTACTGTATCGTAAGTAAAGAGGAGATCTAATTGCAGTGTTTAAAATTTTATATGATAACCAAGGACCTGATCTATTCTCCCTTTTCTTTTCCATAAACCCAGAATACCTTAAAGTACATAACACGAGAAACAAATTACTGTGGAGTATTGGTTCTCACACAAAGTTAAACTCTATGAACCAATCCCCAAGAGAAGTGGTGTCAGCGACCTTAATAGACTCATTCATAAAGTCTTTATACAAGCACAGAAATTCAATAGGAAAGGATTAACGTGGGCCTCAAGCCTTCAGTATCGAATCAACAAAGCCGAACAAATGAGAAAAATCGAACACCTAAAGTGAGCTGACTGGACTATTGGCCTCAGAATTAAGTAAAAATTATTAAGGAGGAACCAGGAAACCTAATCTTCAAATTTTTGCAGTGGAATCAAAAGATTTTCTGTCGCTATAGTAGGAGGAATGTAAAGCGAAGTCTGCTTGTTTGAGTGCCTTGAATGACAAGGAAATATCGTGGCGGTCATTCGCCGTATCCTAGTCACTCTTGCTACTTTATATGTTTGTTTGGTGGTATTCGAAGTTTTATTACCTTCTTTGATTATATTTGTAACTATACTTTTGAAATAACTTAGTATTTGGAATGAACCTAAGTTGTCTCTGTCTTTTCTGAGATGAAAGTGCTACTCCCAGTAGGACAAAGATAGTAATAAGTACGTAAATAATGAACATGACCTGAAGTAGGTAAATGGGAAAGTTTTAATTGTATGAAAGCTATAGATCTTTTTAACATTTCCCCTGCTGACCATTATCTGACCAAAATTTCACCACAACCACTATTTCGCCAATATAATTCCATTCTTATTGTCTACCCGAAATCTGCATATTATAACCATTCTCTGACCACTTTTGCCCGAGGAGGTTGCTAGCACTAGTACTTTTGAAACCTTTAATTTGAGCAATGCAAGCACTAACTAGTGCTTGAGATACCAGCAAACTGGTGTGCTGCTTAATCCCCATGTCCTATGGCAGCACTGTTGAAACTTTTGAGTAAAATTATTTCAAGTATATCCCACTACTCTTGTAGTTTGTTATTAATGACTCAGTAATTTTGTGTATTTAAGGACTACAAAGTTTCGCCCATCAACCAGTCAAGACTTCGCGTGCACCTCGGTGACTTGAAGCAGAAAAAAGTATCGAAATGCGTTAGTCGCACATGAGAATACAGGCGTCTCTCCCCGAGTTTCTTAGTACACTGAAATCGTCTTTTTCTTTGAGTTCTATTGGAACAGAGATGTCTACCTAATTATAACTCAAACTTCTGAAACAATAGAAGTAGTTGTGGAAATTTTGAAACCTGGTCCATGTGCTTGTAGTGCGCCTTCAGATAATGGTAGTTTGGTATTCAATAAATTTGGTATTAAGACGGTTGTCGATTAAGGTTCGATGAAAGTGCTTGACCACCCAACCGTTTTTAAGTGGAGTGTGTTAGGAGCAAATAACCCAGTCGACAGTCATTAACCGTACTAATTAAGTTAAGAATATTTTCAACGAATTGGGAGAATTAAAACAATTAGTCCCTTTGATAAATTTGAATAAGGCATTAAGAAGACAAATTTCGCGAGATGATATCATTTCGTAGTTTCTTTACAACCGCTTTACAACTAACATGGTTAACAATGATAAAATAAAGTTCATGAAAATTACTCAGTTAAATAAAAACAAAAGTACATACTAATGACCAATCATATTAAGATAGGTCATGCAGTCCAGGGTAGGCGAAGATTGAAGTCTATTGATTTTTGTACACACAGTTTAGGCTGTATGTGATTAATCCAAAGTGCTTCCATCACCTTCAATAACCTTGAATTAGAGTTATGTGAAATAATTGTGAAACAGTCATTAATATTTATTTTGTGACCAGACATTAATAAGTGTTTTGCAATGGATGATGCTGGATTTCTACTAAGATTAATCGCGTTAGGATTTTCGATATGATTTACTAGCCATTTTGGAACATGTTCTTTTCGACGACATTGGAACATTCTGTTAGTTCTACCTATATAGGTGTCACCGCAGCTGCAGGTGAACTTGTAGATACAGTTTGAAGTAGAGTCCACAGAATTTCGTCCTTTAATCGTAGGTACAGGGATCGAAAATGTTCGGCAAGTGAGAAAAAGAGATGCGGCGTAGAATGTGCGTTTGATGGCTGACCGAAGTCTTTGAGCTGTCAACTGCATAATCTGGTCGCCCTTGAATGGTAGATTAATAAAGATGGCTTTCTTTGGTACAGAAGCTGTCTTTTCAAGATGTGGTCTATCCTTACCGTGACAATTGATGAAGTTTTCTGGATAACCATTGGCTAGTAAAACTGAATGTATATGTCGAAGCTCATCCATCAATGTGTCACTCGTACATATTTTTCGAGCCCTTGAGAACAAACATTTCACCAGGGAACGTTTATACTGGATAGGAACAAAACTGGTAAAATGAAGATATTGTCCACTCCACGTCTGTTTACGAAAAATAGAGCGCTGAATCGTTCCATCATTTCTCCTAGTCATAGTAATATCCAGGAAACCGAGTTTGTTATTGGATTCTAGTTCAGAGGTCACTCGAATATTTGGATGGATATGATTAAATAGGGTGATAAAGTTTTCAATAGATTTGCTATTATTACTAATAATAAGAGTATCATCTACATAACGTTTGTACAGCATAAATTCTCCAAGCATACCTTGCATTTGTTTCTCTAATTTCGACATAAATATATCTGCTAACAGGGGCCCCAGAGGGCTACCCATTGCAACACCGTCGATTTGTTTGTATGCTTTTCCTTGGAATGTGAATCTAATATTTTCTGTACACATTAAGATGATGTCCTTGATGTACGTTACAGGAATAGGTAAGTTTATCCCGTTGCTTGTGATGTAGTCACAAATGAAATCAACAGTTTCTTAAAGGGGAACATTGGTGAATAAAGATTCTATGTCGATTGAACACATAACCTTTTCATTAATGTTCAAGGTGTCTAGCATTTCTGTAAGATCAAATGAACTTTTTATAGAATGATTTGATAATGAGTCTCTTACAGGCGTAAGGACCTCTGTAATCCATTTGGCGACTTTATGGTAAGGAGAATTTGACATATCTAAGATGGGTCTCAGTAGGCTCCCAGTCTTGTGGATCTTCGGAAGGCCATAAAGCTGAGGAGTATGTGACCCAATTGCTTTAAGTTGTTTATAAAGTTTTTCATTTATAAAACCATGCATCAGTAAAATTTGAAGCTGACGATTGATCTGCTTTTCCACAAGCAGCACATTATCAGTAGCATTGTCCACCAGAAATTTGGACTGATCCTTGAGGATATCCTTCATTTTATTTTCATAATCCTATTTTTTCATAATGACAACGCCTTCTCCCTTATCAGGTTTAAGGATCACAAGATTATCTTTTTGGATTAATTCCTTAAGTGCGGCGTGGTGTTCTTTTGATAAACCATTTTTCTGGTGTATTCTAACATTTAGAAATTGATGAGAAATATCCACCAGCTTAACTTTAAACCAGTCTAGATTATATATATATATATATATATATATATATATATATATATATATATATATATATATATATATATATATATTGTCAAGCTTTGGTTTGTCATTTTTGACTGATATATGTTAATTAAAACAACTCTTGCAAGATTGGGTTTGAATCTTGCTCCACTTGTGGAATTTATGGATCCAACCATCGTTGGTGGACTCGAGTATATACTCCTTTAAAATGTAACTATTTAGATGATAGCTTTCTTTTTAGAGGTCATCATACAGCCATCGCGTATTTCAGTAGCATTCAGTGGGTCATGATCTTAGTTTTCGGTTATGCGCCCGTTTGTTATTTTTAAATTTGTTGTCGGTCACCTCTGTATGATGTTTACAACCTTTCTTATTCGAACTAATTTGACTTTTTGGATAAAGAAGCTAGTTTCACTAGCATTAATAGTATGTTTTAAGTGTAATCCCCATACTATTTATTTCTTACTAGATAATATTTCTGGGCGTTGCTAATAAACCAACGCAATTACCGTCAAGTTTATATCAAAATGATGTCATCTATTTAAAGACAGCAAAGCAATGGGCAAGGGGCAAGATGGAAAAGGAGTTCTATCCAAAAATGAATACCTTTTCGCCGGTTCTGTTAGTGGTTTTGTTGCCAGAGCTGCTGTACAACCATTGGATGTATTGAAGATACGTTTCCAGGTAATATTTGAACAAAAATAATTATCTGATATAGTTGCAAATGGAACCAATTAAAGTGTCAAGTACGAGCAAGTATCAGGGTCTTATTCAGGCTATCAAATGTATTGTTAGAGAGGAAGGCGCCATTGCCTTTTGGAAAGGACATGTTCCTGCTCAGATGCAAGCTGTTGCCTTCACTGGTGTTCAGTTCCTATCTTTCGAAGTGATATCTTCATGGTTGCGGGAGGTTGACAGTATCCTTGTTTCGGATAAGAAAATATTGGGCTTGCCTTTGACATACAAACCCCTTGGTAATTTTCTGTGTGGGTGTGGAGCAGGAACTGTGGCAGCAGTTGTCACCCAGCCTTTGGATGTATTGCGAACACGTTTTATTGCTCAAGGCGAACCAAAAACATATTCGTAGGTCTGGTCATTTATAAAGTTTGTTTTCCGTTTTGTTATCTGGTGGTGCTGTTATTGTGTTTGAAGGCTAATAAATTAATCTGGGTTGTTAGTAAGAGTATTATAGTTTTTATATCCTCACCATTTTGTCAGAAAGAAAAGCTTATATATATACCTAAGTTGCCCGTTTGATTCTTTGGAAATCTGGTCCAGAATCGTTCGAAGTTATTCTCTGCTCATCACTCTCAGTTGGTTAATTTCTGTCTCATTTGTGTTGGTACATCGTAGTTTCATTTTTGTTAACTGTTCAACTTTAGCATGAAAAAGATGGACATGTATTCACTACTTGTAACCTCTTAGATTCTGAAACTTTTCAGCTGGTATGCATATGACTATTTTCCCCTCTCTGCCTCCATCCAGTGTATTTTCATTACATTTATCTGTGGAGCGGTGGCTCATTTTTCCAGGCATCCAACTAACAACACTGGGTGGTGGGTTTAATTGCCTGTCCACCTACTAAGGTTTAGTTAGACAGATACTGTCACTAGTCCTCACATAATAAGTGTGTCTAATTATTGACTGCATGAAAATACAAGTAACTTTTATCTTCTGTGCCTTTAAAGGTGTGTTTATAAGTGCCTCTGTTACACTTTTGTGCAGTTTTATGTTGTTAAGTCGGTTTGCATCGTTGATTGATAAATATCTATACTTGTGCGCTTTATCAAGTTTTGATATTAATTGAAGCTTGGGGTCATAATTTGAAGCAATCGTGTGTACATAGTAACTTTTGCTACCAGATATAATAGTGTGTTTGTTAGTAATTAATATTTGCCGAAATAATTAAGGAAAACCACTAATTTTTCTTTTCCTACGCGTTTTAGGAGCATATCACATGCAGCTGTTCGCATAATGACTCGCGAAGGTCCCCGAGGATTTTTTCGTGGACTTGCACCTTCTCTCCTTTTGATAGCACCACAAACAGGAATGCAGTTCGCTATTTACCACACATTCAATCAAATGGTTGATCGTATCAGGGATTATCTAAATCCTGATGTTATTGAAAAGTCACAAGGTCGCGATGGTTATCGTCCAGTCGGTAGGTTAAATCCTTTCTTAGTTTCTACTTTGTCTTTTATTAATTTGACGCACAAGACTGAAGAGAAGTGCGTAGCGTGATGTAGGAGTGTGCATTTGTTTTTTAGTTTCATGATTATGTTGATACAAATGGATTGACCCTCATGCTATCTACCTGCAAAAAAACACCGGTCTGATTTCCATTATATTCCCTTATATATGAAGGTGAAAAAATGTCCATTGGATTGTCATTCTATAGACATTCCACCCTGTGATTACTTCTACAATACTATACAGGTGCCGAACATTTCATTTTATTTATTTATTCAAAAAAATAGTTGGTACAGTACAGATGCTCAAGAATTATTTACACTGTGATACCGCCGGGTGAAAGTAATTCTAAGGAGGCAGTGTTAGTGAAACAGGAGGAGTGGTTGCAAATTCTTACCTCAGACAGGTCAAAGTTGTACAGGTACGTAGTAAGACTTTCTTCACCAAAGTGCTGCGAAACCCGCTCTTTGACGGTTAGTTTAATACGGTGATAGCCCCAGAATTGGTTAATTTTGGCGTCCACTACCGTGGCCTTTACTTGATTATTAGAAATCTCACTCGTTATGTGTTTGTTAGTAATCACAGTTATCTAGATATATGAACGTCTTGATTACCTTTAAAGGTTCACGTGTGAGGTTGTAGCAGTGCTGTCTGTGTAATTACAGACGCTAGTCGCCAACTGGATCAGTACCATTTGGGTAGTCTGAGTGGTATCATAAAGCGAAATGGTATTGTCTGAATACTCAAGTTCGTCAATTTTCCTCCAGGCTGAACTCCTATACCACCATCATCTCGAACGTCTCTCAGAATGTTGTCGTTGTGAAATTTAAAAGATAATAGCGACATTGGACTCCCCTCTCTAACTTCATTACTGGTTGAGCAGTGTGGTGACAAGCAGTTGTTTCCTTTCACATGACCTGGGGTGTTTATGTGATAGTACCACGAGGACGTTAATGAATATCTGTGTCTAAAAGACGAATCAAAGGCAGCCGCCATACCAAGAAATATGCGTAACGGTGCTCCAATAACTAACAACGAGTAGACGCTTGGTCTATGTACCTGCCACCTGGACCAAATTTAATGTGGTTTATGTGAATCGGTTTCTTTGATGTCTTGGAACGGTGCGAAGTACGACATTTGTCAGTGTTTTAGGCGCAGCTGGTAACGGGATAATACCGCGATGATTATCACATGCATTGCGTAGGACTGTTTCTAAGATGAACATACCATTTGACTCACAGACCACCTCTTTCACATCATGCTTTTTGTTACTAATTATTCGAATGAGTCACAATAGCTTCTGATTGTTGCCAATTGCAGCTGCAAGTTCTGTATCACACATTCTGACTACGAGATCTAGTGTTCCCTAGTTTAGTACTGTCTGTTTCTATGCTTAGGTCTTGCTCTGGATATTGTACTTTACCTACAGTAATGTACCGACAGGTGCCGAAGAATTGTCACGCACTTACACCTAGTAGTTTTTAGCGCAATATTAATCTAAGTTGCAAACTGCTTTACTGTTAATTCTTTAGTGTCTTGTAAGTGCAAGTAGTGTTCATCTTTACTCTCCGGAGGGCAAGTCACTAACCCTAAGCTTACGTAGGTTTAATAGTAGACCTAGGAGGTGCGATCAATTTGCTTACGTCAATCTGTTTAGGACGATGTTTGTGACCACTACTAAATCTCAAGATAAACCTCACACATGCTCAAGTATAATCAAAAAATTAATAAGGAGCGAAAGTACTGTATGAAACTATTGTGACTGTAGCTGACGTAATTGGGGTCTTTGAGTTCAAGTTTGATTAGGAATAGATGTCGACTGTCCTGGGACTGAGTACTGAGTAGTAATAGATAGCTCAGGAGTGTAGTCACTTAGCTGAATTCGTTCTTAGTTGGATTCCGGTTTTAGTACTTTGATTCGTGACCAGAGATCACGAGGTGAAACCGCCTATCTAATAGTTTTTCTTGCTATTTTATAAACCACTCTAACTAGCGTTCGAGTCGTGTAATGTAACCTCATCTGTCGTGCTTATCTCCTTACTGTAGAGATATTAATGAACAAAAAGGTGAAAAAAATAAAACAAAATAGTTCATACATGCAAATACCAATAAATAGTGTGGTGAAAGCTGTCTGCTAGCCAAAATTGGTAGACAGCAATTTACGTCAATGTTTACTTCCCAAGTCTTAGTGATGAGAAAAATAAAAATAAAGACCTTGCGTGGGCGGATACGAGTCGCAGATATATGGTCTGACCTTCTAAGAAACGGCATGACAGATTAACTTTCGGTGAGAAAACAACCAATCAGAAGATGCTGTTTCTCTGCTAGTTATAACGAATAATGATGTACATAAAAATACATAAATATCTCTTGGTTTTCTAAATAAAGGATCTTTTGCCTGGCCCTTGTCTTTTGTCGTTACAATAATATAATAATTTCGGATCAGCTAATTGAACTACACGATTAATTAAGTAGTATATGCGATGTGTCTTTAATGCATGAATGTGTGAAAGGAGAAGATATCTATCGGTATCGGGATTAAAAATACGTGTAGTTCAAAAAATGTAGTAAGTAGTCCTGTGATTAAAATGAATAGTCTTTAATAAGATGGAAATTTCGTCAATGAGTTTCTGAATACATTGATTCATATACATATATACATAGCTGTTTGCTTCATGTGCGTTTTTGTCAGTTTTGTAGATTGTGAAGTGTTGCGACTCACTAGCATAAGCACTTGATTTTCAGTCACTAGGTCCACGGTTCGTGTCCTTCTCTACCTACTTTAGTTTGGGTCACTGCCACTGGGTAGTGTCACACACACATACACATACGATATGTATGACTCATAGCCTGATACATGAGAAATCTAGATACTCAGTTTTTAAAAATAATAACAAAACATTGGTGTATTCAAAATGGTATTTGTATATTTTCGCAAATGCTGTATTCTATAATGGGTAGGTAACTAGAGGATGTGCGTCGGTCGTATAGTGGTTAGAACGCTCGCCGACCATGCGCATGGTCCAGGGTTCGATTCCCGGCCGATGCACTCCTTTACTTCACTGAGCCAGAAATAATACTGGTAAAGAGGAAAGTTTGGGCATGAGGCTATAAACCCCATCCTGTAAAATTAAACACTGCTACAGAAACTCCAAACCACTCGCTTGAAGCCCTTTGTTCCACTGGGAACGTGAAGGAATAAAAAAAACTAGAGGATAGTTTACACATTCAGCCTTTTGCTAGTTTTTTTAGCAACTTTTGTTATACTAATATAGCGTTCAAAAATTTATTTGGTCATTTTGATTTGTCTATTAATCTGCACGTGAATTTTTATACCACACGTTCATTCAACAGTTTTACACTTTTACTCTATTTAAGTCTGTTTTTTCTATCGACTCGTGTTACAGAAATATGACTGTCTCAACATAGAACTTTCCGTAGAAGTGCAACAGTTTAAGTTACTACACTCTATATAATAAACAAAGACAAAGAAAAAAAATGTGCGGAAGGAAGAATAGTGACATGGAAAAACGTGAGAGTCTAATGGGATATATGAGATCACAAAAAGTGAATGCATCTTGCTCCATTAACGACTAATTTGAGATATTTCACCAATAGGCTGAAGCCATTAGCAATTAGCATTCTAAAGACCTCAACCAAGAAATGTACACTTTCCTACATAGCTGGCTGAAACCAACTTTCAAAGACGTAATAGGCTGAAGCCAGGTTTTGATTAGACCATCCCTAATTCTTTTCCAACCTAATCCAATGAAAGTTTACATTGCTCCTTGAAAAAAGCGGTGAACCCTACCGCTACTGAAGCTTGAAAGTTTTGAAGCCACACAAGCCTTTTGTATCCGTGCTGAGATTTCGTCAGCAATCAGTTCATTAGGGCTAGTGCAACTTCCTGAATGAGTAACGTGGTGGTCAGCATGCTCTACCGCTTCACTCCCCATCTTAGATCTAAGAGTCAGTGTACTCCAGCCCTGCAGTATTATCTTATATTTGATCGAAGTGAATCGTACACCGACTCCTAGATTAGAAATAGGAAGTGAAGTGGTAGAGCACGTTGACCGATTCACTTATTTGGGAAGTACCATCAGCCAATGCCAACGGGTTGATCTTTGACGAAATCTCAGCACGGATACAGGGGGCTCGTTTCGCATTTGCCAGTTTACGCCGTCTCTGGCGTAGACGAGATATCCGACTGGCTATCGACCAAAGGGCGGGTGTATAGCTCATCAGTTCGCTCCGTCCTCCTTTATGGCCAGCTGTGAGACCTGGCCACTGAGAGTGGAAGACATGAAAAGATTAGCTATCTTTGATCATAGGTGCCTGCGCTCTATCTCCCATGTGAAGTGGTATAATAAGGTGAGCAGTATTGAGGTTAGACGTCGAGTTCTAGGTAAGGAGGGGAAATCAATCGACGAGGTTGTGAAGTTGCATAGACTGAGATGGTTAGGATATGTTGTTACGTATGTCTAGTCATCGCCTTCCTCGATGAGTAATGTTAGCTGATATAGGGTCAGGCTGGAAAAAAGCTAGCGGAGGTCAAACCAAAACATGGTTTCAGTCAATGAAATCTACAACAGTTAGTCTAAGCCACGTGGCAAGGTGTAGACTTCCTGACCAGTTGGGGTCCTCGGGATGGTAAAAACCAATGGTTGGAAAGAATTGGTGACATGGCTCAAAATCGTTCTTAGTCGCTGGCGCAGATGCATCTACTCCTTGTGACTTATGATTTCCAATGAAACTGTTTTGTTCTTCGTTATTACTCTTCTTTTGTCTCACACCTCTGCTTCCTGTTTCTATTATGCTTTTCTTGTACTTTTTTCTCTTGTTTTGTGTGCTACATGGAGGGAGTGTGGTGACTTGAACTGCTGCTCATCAGTGCAAAGTTCTGTGTCGAAGTCAGACAGACAGACAGGAGTGAATCGTATGCCAAACATACGAAGATTTTTTCTTTCGGTATTCAGAAGATTGCATTTTGTCAACGTATTTACCTAGGAAGACGATATTATTCACATTAATAAATATATATGTATTCCTACATTATTTAGTTATTATTCCTTTTATAACTTACTGTCTAGTTAATATGATTGTCCTTTATCTCTTATTGTTCCACTTTAAGGTGCTTTTCAAAGTGTAATCGCTGGTGGGCTTGCAGGAATGGGATCTAAGTGTATAGTTTATCCACTGGATATGGTCAAAAAGCGTATGCAAGTTAGGGTAAGAATTTTGATTGGTATTATTCATAAGTGCATTTGAGTATTGTCAAAGTGTCATCATTCGGTAGATTAAGTTTAGACTACTGCGTCGTCTTACGTTTTGGTATAATGAATCGGTCTATCTATCCGACTTCAATTACTTTATCTTTCTGAGGTAACTCGTCGTGACACTTTTCGTTGTCGGCTAATCTGAAATTTAGTTCTTTACACACTAGTACTTGGGAGGCCAGATATTTTTTTGTCTTCACATGACACCATTACGTTGTCTGTGAATTTTGACTTTTTTTATGCGAAGCAAGCTAGTTATCAAGACGTTGGAATGAAAAAATGGTCACTTTTATACGTAGTCAATGTAAATAATGACGTTAGATGTTCATGATAGCCATTATTAGCCCTTATTCTTTCATGCGCCTATACACACCCATTACAGATATAGAATTTCGATAATTAAGTTTCCTTTCCGAAACTTGTTAAAATGGTGCTCAGGTTTGATCAATATTTTGTCGTATGAATTTGAAACTTATTTGATATTCACTTCTGTTCTTTTTTGTCTTCATATACGTTTAAATGACTATTGGCCAAACTAAATCGCCTGCTTGTTGCCACAGAAAGATTTGTTTCCTTTCTTGGAAACTGTTTTGATTATGATTATCACTAATATTATGAAAATATCCGTATTCAGTTACGCACTAATCTAGCTGAGAATTTCCCATATGTCAGTTAGTCTTCACTAACCTTCGGCTGTAGATTGTCACGTGTCTTTATCTCAGATTTGTTATAGCACAAGACTTCCTGTTGAAGAACTTTGCTGTTATTTCGGGATGTTTCGTCCATTGCCCTCTGCATGTACACTTAACATTTTCATCTACGAGCTTTGGATGTAGTAGTTTCCTATCTGCTAGTTTTCTGCACTTAATCAGACGCATTTGCACGATTAGACGTATAGCAGGAGTGCACACACGTACATCATTGGTTGCTATATCTGCACGATGTAAAATGATCCATCTGCATCCAATGATGCCGAGGTACATGGGGTTGTTTGAGGAGAACTGTTACACATGATTGTCGTCCGATTTTTAGCTTTCGATACTGTAGAGAAACCCGTTATTCTCTTATGATTGGCCTGCTTTCTTTATTTGCTTGATGAAGTTGCATGCTAGTGTGTGTTTACCTCGTAGCCGTTTACTTCTTGTAACTAACCGGACAGCTTTTGGTTAAAACTATCTTCACTAATATCAGTGCTGTCAGCCAGTGGAAATTACTAAGTAGTATTAGTAGGTGTCATATTTACTTGTAAAATATGTAACTAGCTGAAAGCTCAGAAGAAAAGCCTTTGGAATCCAATTTAGCACTCCGTCTGTTGTGGAGATTTTGACCATCTCTATCCCACCCAGTTTACCAGTCAGTCACTTCTGCTAAATCTTGTGATAGTCTTACAACGAGTTTTGTGAATTAACCATGTTGGTCAGATAAGCGTTAAATGAGTAATGACATTGAAATCCTATGTGCACATAAGATGTATATAGCAACTACTTACAGCCAAATATTCTAAGGTTTTGGAGCCTGTTGTACGACTTCGTGTATGATGCGTACACGTTGTGAAAGCTTCTGTGTAAAATGAGTAGCATAGTCCTAACTAAGTAGAGGTGGTGTTTCTGTTCTGAGTTGTTAACAGTGATTAGAGCTTCAAACGAAGTTTAATTAACTATATGGGAATTGTATCAACACTGAAAAGTCAAGATGAGAAGAGTAACAAAGAGTAACTGTGCGTCGGTGGCACAGTGGTTAGGACTCTCGCCGATCATGCACATGGTCCGGGGTTCGAGCCCGCACCGACGCACATCTAATATCTATGGTCGGCCTGCGAAATTTGGGCTACCGATATCCATGCTGAAAATTCCATACTTGTACCAAAAATACAGTGTGGAATCAAGCTGTAAATCAAAAATAAAAAAAGTAAGTTGGCCACACATAACTCTTCCTAAGATGTTGGATTTTGTCAAGATTAATCCATATATATGATCACACCACTTTTGACAGATGGTCCTATGATATATCCAGGTTTCTAATATATTTATGAAAGGGTGCAAAATTCATTCAGCCCTTTCCCCGTTATTAGAAGACAGCATAACTAACCTGTGGGTTATTCTGCAGAAATATCTTGTTGATCTCATACATGTAATACGGGAATTAATGGCTTTGTTCATAAACCTGTTTAGTTTAAGCTGTTTAAATTATGAGATTACCTCCCATCATCAAACTAGACACTGAACTTTCATCTGTGAGTGGTGTGTTTAAATCCCTCTCCGCCTATCAAAGTACGATAGTCAGATAGTATCACCATCCTTCACACAATAAGTGCGCGATTTATTACCAGTTACACTGCCATGCATACTTTCTTTACTTTTATTATTTTAAAAGTTTCAGAGCTACTGTCTTTTGTTTTCTTAAATTTCTCCACATAGATATAATGGCTGAGGATGGCTAAATTAAGGAGTAGATACTCGAACAGACGAATGCCACCAGTAACCATGAAAGTGACCTATTGCTTTAAAAAGACTCATTTGATTGAAGAAAAAAAAGCGAAATCAAGTTAAGTATTCATGGTGAATTTTGTTCATAATTGGAGTAAAGTGCCCTAAACTAAACCCTAACCAGTAATTATTCTTAACTGCGCAACTGTAAGCAACCTTAACCTGACCGAAATTTGTACGTAACATAACCCTAATGTAAAGTTAATTGTAGCCCTCCTATCCTAAATTATTGTCGTTTGGGTAATGCCAACAGCCCTATGAAGAACCGGGAGTTATTCTCGTAATATCTTGAGCAAATATATCCCATTGAATATACTAACGCTTGTCCTTTTGAATGCAGTGTCATTTTTTGCTCTGACTAGAGAGGTTCCATGGTCGTTAGTGCGTTCGTCCTTTCGTATGGGTGCCTGCTCTTGTAATTCTCCAAAGTTCTTTATCTTTTAATTAACCATTAATTAAGAATGGAATGAATGATGTCGACAGTGTAAATTTAAACAGTTGACATTTGTGAATCAATCAAAATTATTTTAGCTTGTTAAAAGACGACCAGAATCATATATACTTCTAATTTGAATACATGACTGGTTATTTTTAACTTCTCATTTGGTTTCTTATGTTATAACCGTTAATTGGGGGGCATTTCTGTATAATTTACTATTATGGCTTTAAAAGTAATCAGAAAAAGTAGCTTTTACTCAGTTTAGTCAGCGTTAAATTCATTTGGTCTGGTTTTTATCCTAAGTTTAGGTAAAAGCCTGTAATCTGTGATTGGGTCATAAATGCGTGTTCTTCTGAAGAGTCCCAAGATGGCATGAAACACCTGTCTGATACTCATAGCCTTCTACTAGTTCTCTGACTGGTATCAATGCGTGATCACAATTGAAATAAATCAAATCCCTGCAAACTAACTCATAAAAGTGTGTGTGTTTTCTTCACAAAGCCGTCGTTTTTATCCCTCTATCTGTTTTATTTCCACGTGTGTATGTTTCTTTTATTGCAACAGTTTGTAAGCGCTTCCTTTTTATTCTCAAAACTTTTGATGTATTTCCTCCTTCTTTTGTTTTTAGGGTTTTGAAGAAGCACGAGTTCAATTTGGTCAAATTCCCAATAGACAAGGTGGTTTGCTTAGATGTTTAATTGAAATACGGCAAATAGAAGGCGCTTCAGCAATATTTAAAGGTTTAAGACCCACCTTGTTAAAATCTTTTGTTTCAATATCTTGTAGATTTACAGTATATGAACAGATTTGTAGATTTCTTCTTTATTACAATCATTCATAAAGATATAAGTATATTGTCCCTTTTTATTTTCTGTGTTATATATATATATATATATATATATATATATATATCATTCATTCCAAATTTTATGTAAATTCGATATCCTAACGGTGTAATGTACTTGCTTGTTAGTAAGTGGATCACTTTCAGTTGATGTGAATTTCATTTTTGCATCTTCTTTTGTTACTGTTTATTCCCAGTGTAAAGTAGTAGTCATCTAAGCGCCCCTACTCGTGGACTCATTTCCTTTGTACCCCACCCACCCCCCGCCGACACACACACACACACCGATGACTAGTTGTTTTCAATCCTACATTTCTTCTTTGCATTGTCCCTTGTATATTTGTCAATCTCCACTCTGTGTAGTGATTACTAGTAAACGTTTCAATAGGTCTTAATTATCATATCTTTCATCCTATCTTCTTGTCTGATCTGGCTCCGTTTCACCCTACTCCTTGTTTCTGTAACCAGTATCGTAGCATGTATAATATTTTGTTTTTCTCGTTAGCTCATATTAATTCATTTGTGTTCGATTTACAGTCAAATGAAATGTTTTCTTTTTTGAAAGAAGAAAGCTCTGAACAAAGTTGTCTCTCTTTTTTTATTCTATAATGGTCATGTGATTTGCATGTACGTTTGTGTTATTTGAAGGCATTTTGTTTATGAGTTTGACAGTTCTGTACCTGTCGATTTATTGCACACCCACCTGTGAAGTATAATTGTGATAGTGAAAGGTTGTTCGTATAATAAGCAGCATTGATGTAAGTAATGCTAATTTTAGGTGTAGAAAACTTTTCACTGGGAAATTACAATATTATTATTATCATTATTCCTTCAGGTTCCGAATGGAATATAGGACTTCATCAGCATGTCTTCATTTCTCTGTGTTCTCCACCGTTACCTTCAGCTGGCTCCACGATCACCTATAATCTATCAGTGATATAAGTATAAAACTTGGACACTGTGGTAGAGTATAACTCCATTATGGATAAGATTTTATTTTGGTAAATCACACAGTGTAGTACAGTAATATTAGCTGATGACGTTTCGGGCACAAATTATTGCTCGTGATCACATCAAGTCACACACACACACACACACACAATTCTCTTGCTTCATTTATAATTTCTTCCCCACATAATCTCCTCCGTGTCACCCTCGGACTTACATCAAACTCGTCGCTCTCCATTCTTGTTCGGGTTGAGCGCCTGGCACGTGATGTTCCCTAATGGTCTCCTTATCGTGTGTCCATCATCTCCATTTTCTTCGACATACTGTTTAGGCGATATGTATTTAGTTGGTTGTTATAACTGCAATGAATTGAGGTAAAACCCCGTCGCCAATTTTTTATAACGGTAGGGAATTAGATGAGGACGTTGTCGCCTTGTTCTGTCTGCGCCTGACTAATGTGCCTATCTGCTTGTGGTACCTTCCGATTCAGTGAAGCACGCAAATATCAAAAGACAAAGACTGGACTGTGACTGTGTATTGTAGTACAACAACAACGACAAAGAAAGTCATGGTATTTATACATTTTACAACGATATAGACAGCCAACAGCATTTGAAATAATTGATCGTAATAGTCAATAACAAAGTGCGTGAGAAATGATAATATACCATCTATGCGAGATTAACAGTCGATAACAAAATGCGTGGGATCCTATCATTGGTTCATCTCCAGAGTTTCTCGTGGCTTACCTTTTTTGGTGATCTGATCTGTACTATGAGTAGAAAGTAGTCCCTTGGAAATGCTTGTCATGAAATGACAATAATGAGTCATAAATGTCTAATGACTAATTTTATTGGGACATTTGTTTAGTCTCAAGGAATTTTATCAACACTTGCCTTAATTTTAGTGAATTTCAACATAAAGAAAATGTTACAGTGAAATCTTTAAAAAGTTATCACTTGTTTAATAAGGATAGATAAACTTACCGTAAGTTCAATGTGTTGTGCGTGATAAAGCTGAAGAAAAGTGGTTCTCTAGTGGATGTCAGCTCATGATGAAATCCTCTATGCAATCAAACAAAACCAATACTTGAAAATGTATAAATCTCAAGGAGGGATGTAGAAATAATAAGATTATTAAACAGTTAAAGCATTACGTCACAAGGTGATAATTATGATATGATAACATCATAACTAATCTTATTATTTCTACACCCCCTTGAGATTTGTACATTTCATGAACTATGTTATAAAGTACATAACCAATTATTAATATGTTACATTTTCATTATATATTATATGTATATATATATAACTGCACTCCTTGATGACAAATTCGCTGAAAAGAGACTCTTCTGTGAATCACTTTAACACTAAATACTCACTTATGAAACATATCACACTCTTTTATGGAGGTGTAATCAGATAAAAGGCGTATTAAATGATTAGAAAACCAAACTGTCACTAGAAACTTCCAGGTGAATTTTGAAAAGGAACGCTAATATTTTTTTTAGACAAATCAGTAAGAAGACGTAATTTGTCTGAAGTGTGTAATGAATTTCCGCAACACATTTCGAACAATCAGATCACATGCGAACTTGTCATAGGAATATATATGAAATTAATAGAGAGTTAACAGGTGAGAAAATAGAAAATAAGGGACAGATTCAGCGAAGAAAATTTTCTTTATTGACGAAATCATCTTCAGAGACTGTACAGTCGTATTTATACTTAGAAAAATGTATAGTGGCCTATTATCGAGTAATAGGGGGTGAAAAATTTCCATAGCCGGGTCTCTTTGAGAAGTAAGAGAAATCTGATCCGTTCCCTATCCCCAAAAATAAGGAGGATATGTTCAAGTGATACAATCGATGGGGAAATGGAACGACTCACACAAGTTCTCATAGAGAATGGATATCCTCCAAGATTTACTGAGAAAAACATGAAGTTAGGAGAAAAGCCTGAAAGAATCCAGACAGTGCCGAAGAAACTTCTCCTTATGAGTGGTGAATTTAAAGGTGATACCGCAGCTGAGATCCTGAAGAATCGCTTATGCAGACCACTGAGGAAAGCCTTCTTTATGGCTGAGCTACGTATGAATTTCTACAGCCGACAAATGATCAACGGATGTGTGAAGGATAAACTGCCGCTTTGGGGCACCTCAATGTGTGTTTATAAATTCACCTGCTCGTGTGGAGCAGGCCTCACAAAGCGCACTCTTTCCAAAGGCATCTCTGAACATTATCCGGCATGGTTAATAAAGGGACAATGCAAGACAGTTATTAGCTCAATTCTCGAGCATTTGGGGAACTCAGGCCACGTAGCTCCACCAGAGCTGTCTTTCAAGATCATCTACAAAGTGAAGCCAAATGGTACAAAGAGCGTCAGATTTCTGCTTTTGTGTATGGCGGAGGCGCTGGCAATTCATCAATACAACCCTGAACTCTGTATACAGAAAAAGTTTGTCCAGTCTCTTATTCTACCCTGGTCTTAACCTCTTCACTAATCGTTCCCTGTAAAAAAAATTTTGATTTTTGCTTTTGTTTTTATTTTTACTTTCAGTTTGCTTTTGCTTTAATAATTAATTCACTATTATCAATCTCATATGCTCCTTTCGTATATTTTCCTACCTGTTAAATTGACACTCAAATTCCTTCATTCTCACTCATGAGCAATTTTAACCTTATCAAAATTCTACCTTTGTTCCGTTGAGTACCATGTAATTTAAAACTTTTAATTTTCACTTTTAAAGCCACTTCTGAGTAATTATATCAATTATGTCACCCCCTATTACTCAATAATAGGCCACTATACATTTTTCTAAGTATAAATACGACTGTACAGCCTCTAAAGATGACTTCGTCGATAAAGAAAATTTTCCTCTCTGAATCTGTCTTTTGTTTTCTTCATGACTCAATGGGTATTTTGGTGATGAGAAAATAGAATTAAGTCAAGCTAAAAGGACAAATTGAAGGTCAAAATAACAATACAGATTACCAAATTAAAGAAGGGAGGTAATAGTACATCTGCTATGGTATCAAAACAAAGTTTACCAGGGAAGGTTTAGTGGAATGACGAATTGTTTTTCAATGCATAAAGATGGTTTAAACCTGATATAAGTATAAAACTTGGGCACTGTTGTAGAGTATAACTCCATTATAGATAAGATTTTATTTTGATAAATCACACAGTGTTGTAGAACACTGTGTGATTTATCAAAATAAAATCTTATCTATAGTGGTTTAAACTTCCTAATTTCCAGCTAGGGCTTCAACAAACTTTAGGATACGCCCCAAACACGTTCTATAGATAGGCTCAGACGTGTAAACATCAATTTTATGTCCTGTCTCTATAATATGGTTTGCAATACAGGAGCCAAGTCTCCTGTTCTCGCCATTAATGGTCTATGGGGATTCTGTTAGCTCCTGAAGCCATTTAGGAGTATGCTCTGAAGCCCCTACTTGCAGGAATCGATTAGTCCTCCCTATGTAGGTGTTTCCACGCGTACATTCAGGTTTTTTGATGGAGTGACATCCTTTTGTCTTCCGCGTGTTCTAAGGACTTAGATGGATATATCGAAGAGACACCTCACTAAGGCTCTTTCGTATCAAACAGGGCGGCAACTGTGATAGTTTTCTATAAATAGATCGTTTTATTGATCCATCATCACACTAAACTTTGTTTTCATACCAGGGTAGATGTACTATTACCTCTCTTATTTGGTATAGTGATCTTCATTGTTACTTTGACCTTCAATATGTCCTTTTAACTTGACCTAATTCTATTTTCTGACATGTTAAGTCTTTATTAATTTCGTATATATTCCTATGACAAGTTCGTGTGTGGTCAGATTGTTCTGACTGACTGACTGACTGGTTTCAACATAAAACTTTGCACCGATGTGCAGCAATTCGAGTCCCCACACTTCACTCAGCACACAGAGCCAGAGAAGAAAGTAAAAAGAAACGCAAAATAGAGACAGTAAACATAGATATGAGGCGAAAAGAATAGTAATATATTCTTTTATTTTTGATTACAGCTTGATTCCAC